GGGGGACACCAGCCGGCTCCTGGCCAGCGGGCACGGCGGGGGGACACACGTGGCACCCCCCTTCCCAGCGAGGGGTCCCCGCTGCCTCCTCCTCGCCCCTGTCCCTCCACGGGAAGGGGGGATGTGTCCCCCTAAAACTGGGGGGGACACACGACGATTCTGCGCCCCCCCACCCCACCGGGGGCTGGATAAGGCCACGGGCGATGGGCTGAGCAGGCAGCCTGCCGGCAGCACGGGGCTCTCCGACCCCCCCGGCTTTGCGGGGTGCAGGGGTCCCCCCCACCTCTCTCCATGCCAGGAGGGGTGCGGGGCACCCTGCCTGGGTGGTGGGTGCCAACCTAGGACTTGCCCTCGGCAGGGTTGTACTCCGTCTCGCCAGACGAGACCTGGGAGATGCGCCGCGTGGAGCGCCACAGCCGCCAGTGGAACTGTCCCGGCCGCACCTGGGTGAGGGGGGATGAGCACCCACCCGATGTCCCTGTCCCCTTCCCCCTTCCACATCCCCTTCTGAATTCCACCCCCCAAACCCTTTATCCACCTCCATCCCCATCCCCTTCTCCACCCCCATCGCCTCCCAAATGTCCATCTGCTTCTCCATCCCCGTCCTTATCAACTTCTCCATCCCCATCCCCTTCTCCATCCCCATCCTCTTCCAAACATCCATCACCTCCAGCTCCTTCCCCATCACACAACCCCTTCCGAACCCCATCCTTTGCTCCACCCACACTCATCCCCTTCCCCTTCCAAATCCCTATTCCCACCCCTTCTCCCATCACCGTCCTTCCCCATCCGCACCCCCACTCCTTTCCCAACTCCTTCCTCATCGCCATCCACCCACCATCCCCTTCCCCCTCTCCACCTCCACCTATCCCCTTCCCCGTATCTCCCCCACCCCACCCCACCTCTGTCCCCCTCTGCTCTGGAGAACAAGGAGGACAAGCAGAGGTCCCCAGCCCAGCCAGCACCCAGTGGATGCCGAGGCATGACCCCCCCAGCACCACCACCACCACCACCTGGGGTGGGGGTCCACGCTCACCTCAGGGGGCTGCCCAGCCCCTACCACGATGAGCTTGCCATCCTCCAACCCCACCAAGATGTGGCTCTTCTCCTTGGTGACGGACACGCTGTGGACGGGCACCGGCATGGGCACGGGGGGCACGGCCGCCCTGAGGCTGTGAGAAGACGAGTGGTGGGATGGGACCCCTCGAGCCCCCTCGGCACCCCAAGGGGGTGGTTGGGGTGGGACAAGGTGGGTGGTAGCCCTCACCTCTGGAGGTCACGGATCTCCAGCCTGCACTGCATGGTCCCCAGCACCACGAAGTCCTCCGTCAGGCACATGGCCGTCACCTCCTCGTCCAGTGGGACGGAGGAGAGGTGCTTCCCGTTCACCGAGTAGAGGTGCAGCGCAAACCTGTCCTGAAAGACAGAGCGAAGAGGGGGGAACACAGACGCTGACGGTGGTGAGGGGGAGGACGCAGGGACACCTGGCCATACCTTCAAGCAGGCTCGTTGACCCACGGCGGTCTGGGCGACCACCTGCCCCTCCGGCCCCACGGCCAGGTGGGAGAGGACGGCAGGCGGTGAGCTCTCGCTGGGCGGCCGCAGGGACCGGATGAAGAGACCCCGGCGGACGGTGTGGATGATGATGGTGCCATCCTACGGGAGGAAGGGGACGTGGGGCAGTGACGGTGGCGCTGCCCACCCTGCCACCCACCACACCACCCCAGCTCACCACCAAACCCTGCCATGTCCAGCTCGGTGCTGATGGCCACGCACGTCACCTCAGCGTCGTGGCCGTACAGGACCTGGACGGGTTTGGGGGCCAAGCCGCTGGAAAACCCACCCTGGCGTTGGGGACACGGGGACCTCAGTGACCTGGTGGCAGCGCCCACTGCAAGCCACCCCATCCGGAGCGTGCGGATAAGGGTCAACTTATTCCTACCTGCTGTAGGACCTGCCACACCATGCAGGTGGTGTCCCGGGACCCAGAAATGAGGTAGATGCCGCAGAGGTCGAGCGCCAGGCAGGTGACAACATCTGTGACACCCAGAGGGACACCATGAGCTGCCGGTCCTGTCCCACCGCGCTTGGTACCCCAACCCCGTGGGATGGCACCAAGACGTGTTTTGGGGTGTGGAGATGCTGCTGACCCTAACCCCAGCCCGGCTCCGCGATGGAGCCTGGACTGTCCCCAGAAGATGGGGGATGCTGGGAGATGTCCCCTGCCCGCTCCCATGTCCTCTGCCTCCCCCCTACAAACCCATTGGGGCATCATCGGACCTTCATCATCAGAGGAGGACTTACCTATGTGCCGGGTGATGTGCCCAACGACCTTCCCTTTAGCCAGCGAGGTGACGCGGAGACTGTTGTCCCAATGTCCCCCGCTGAAGAGCAGCTTCCCGTCGGGGGACACGGCCAGCGTGCGGGAGCACAGGTCCGCGCCAGGGGCGAAGGGGCCCTGCAGGAAGCGCTGGGTCCTGGTGGGGAGGGACATGGGATGGTGGCAGAGCCATGGGTGGGATGGTGGCACCTTTGGGGACTGTTTAGATTGGACGTGAGGAGAAATGTCTTTACTGAAAGAGTGGTTAAACATTGGACCAGGCTGCCCAGGGAAGTGGTTGAGTCCCCATCCCTGGAGGTATTTAAAAGACAAGTAGATGAGGCGCTGAGGGACATGGTTTAGTGGACATGGTGGTGTTGGGTCGACGGTTGGACTCGATGATCTTAGAAGTCTCTTCCAACCTCAATGATTCTATGATTCTATGTCCCCTGGGACCATGCGTTAACTCACTTTGTGTTGGAGACGGTGGCGTCTTTGGTGAAGCTGAAGTAGTTGGAGATGTTCTTGTCATAGGGCAACCAGTTGTGGGTCCCCAACAAGCCGTTGGCACTCACGGTGACCTGGGCAGAGGTGGAGATGGAGGTGACGCAGCTCCCACCCACTGGGGCTCTCCTGGGGTTCGGTCTCGGTCCCCCCCAGGTCAGCAGCACGCACCCGTGCCTCAGTTTTCCCACACTCACCAGGACGTCGGGTGATCCCTGAGTGATGAAGGAGTGCGCCTGGTTCTTGGGGACCACGGCTTGCACCAGGGCCACCCCATCGCTGATGCCCTGCGGGGAGACAGCAAATGGTGGGCACCCTCGGCCGCCACCCCCTC